TAAATTTTTCTCGAAAGCACCCTTTCTAAATTTTTCTCGAAAGCACCCTTTCTAAATTCTTCTCGAAACTACTTAAATTTTTCTCTCGGCAAGTATCGTTTAGGCATCTCGGATTTAAGAGTTTTAACTTTACGTCGAGTCTTCTACTTCTCCCTTCACTAAACGCAGATTTTAATCATGTAACCATGTTTAGAGCCGTCTAGGGAATTTTTACCCTTATGCCTTCATCCTGATTGGATAATGGTATGCAATAACTGGCTGGGAGCTATGAAAACACAAATGGGGCAAAAACCTTGGGTTTCTACATAAATAGAAACATACTGGACTCTAAACTCTGAGGTAAAGGCCTCATACCCTATCCACGATGATTATATCTTAAGCATTTGGCTCAGTTGATAAATCCCAGTTAGTGGGAATCTGCTGAACATTCTCAATCCACAACTATTATGGGATCCCACGGCTGTGTTAGACTATACTCTATGTGGTTCATGCAGTCGAAGTGAGCAAGAGACATAAGCCCCTGCCCTTATGAACCTCACATTCTAGTGGCAGGCAATACTATAATGCCGGCGAGATGTGAGAATGAAGAAAAATGCGGTGCACACCCCTCTCCCTGGGATATGGGGGGGATGTGTTGGGGGGAAAAAGTGGGGGTTCTAGTATAGAAAATACGTCATGAGACGCTTGATGAAGAGTCATGATTTGATAGATTGAAATAGAACCAGTGTGAGAGCTCCAAAAACAATCACTTCCATTTTTGGAGAAATTTCAACTCTTCGTATTTTGATTTGGGGCCAAAAAAAAGTCTTGAGGGGGAGGAAAAAAAGTGATTAAAGCTTATTTTAGATAAGAAGCAGTTAATGAAATTGTAAAATATGCTCCCTTTTGGGGGGAGGAATACAGTAGTTTGCACGTTGGGAGAACAGCTGCCTCCAATTCAGCTTGGTGGTGGGCTTCAGCTGAACTGGTCAATGCTTAAGTGTCTTCTGTGTTTCTGATTACCTATCTCTCCAGGGACCCAGCTGAGCAAGATAGGTCTTTAAGCTGGTTCAATGCTCCCATCCTGCAGGCAACTACAAACTGTTGCTTACTGGATGATTTAACAAAAAATGATAGGGAATTGTAAAGTGTAGCCTCGAGTTCATGTGTAGAAACTGCCATCTGCACAATCAAAACATTCAGACTAAGATTTTAAAGATATTAATACAGACTTCCTTTTTTTACTTAAAAATATATTTCATTTTCCTAATAGCATCTAGTAGATGTTTCTCCCCCCTAACGCTGGACTAAAAAAAAAAGGCTGTTTTCTGGTCTGGCTTTGTTTTTCTAGGCAAGTACTTAAATTACGGGTGTTTCATAAGTATCTTTTGATGGATTTCCTTGTTTCGTTTATTTTGCTTTAAGCAATGCAGACACCTTCAAATTTCTTTATAACCAATCTTTTTCAAAGTCTTTTGAGGTGGTTGATGGAGCTTGTCTGCAGATCATGTAGACGTGCTGATTTTGGCACGGACTTCAGCTTCGACACACAAAACAATGTCTTTGAGGAACCAATTTTTCAAGCTAAGAACAAATGAGTGTTTGCTCATCTTTCGGAAAAATATTTATATACTTGGGATCCGGAATGTGACAACGGTTTTACACGCTTGTAGGTTTTTTCCTAAATATCTGGGGAATTACTTCCTCATCTAACGTTTTATTTTCCTGACCCGTCTTTAATACGCTACAGAAAACCCCTCTCGCCCAGTGACTGTCTTCTCTAGGATCATTGAAGAATAGAGGCCTTGACTTTTGACGGTCCTTTTCGGTTTTTTTCCTCCTCCCGTTACTCTTCTCTGTACTCACAGCCGAGGCAGCCGGCGTCTGGGCTGAAAGAACCCTTGGCGGGCGAGGAGAGGAGGGTGTCATGTTGGCGACAGGCTTCTGCTGGCGGCCAGCGAGCCCGCCGGGTTAACGGGGGCGCCGGAGTCGGCGCCCTCGAAGTTGGGGGCGTCGGGCGGGGCCTCACGGGAGCCGCGACTGTCGCTCGACCAGAGCATCCCACAGTGTCCCGTTCCCTCCAGAGTGGAAGAATCGCCGAATCTGGCGCGATCCCACGGAGATATCGCTCTTCGCGGTGCAGTCTCCGCTACTGAGCGCGGGACCAATGCAGGCGAAGTCGGGCGGGCGACAGGGAAAGCCCAGACCTGGGGCAGAGAAGGAATGAGGGGCCGGGAGCCGGGGGGATTTCCTCCCGCTCTTCCCTCTCCAACGGGAGCGGAAAATGTGATTTGCTGTGCATTCCAGGCGCGGTTCCCTGGGGTGACCTCTCCCAGCCGGCCTGGGCGGAGGGAGCAGACAAAGAGGCGAGGCGGGCGGAGAGGGGACCCCGTGGGGAAGCAGGAGGGTTGCGGGGGGCGGGGGCAGTATCGGGAAAGGGGGCGGATAGCGGGTCTGGCGGTGGCGGCGGCGCCTGGCCAATGGAGAGGCGCGGCCCCGGGCGCCGTCTTAGGCTGCCGGCATTTAAACGGGAGACTGCGCAATGCCTGGCACTCGATGCGCCCTCCGCGGACCGGGCGATCCAGTGCACCGCCGCAGCGTTACTCTGTCCGGCCGAGCCCCGGCGGCTCTGGCCGCGGCAGCCCTCAGCGCCACGCGTCGAAAGCGCAGGCCCCGAGGACCTGCCGCACTGACAGGTGAGCGCGGACGCACCTGGCAAGGAGTGAGTGTGGTGGAAGGAAGAGGGCGGCCAACGAACCGCAGAGACCCACTCGGTTCCATGCGCGGCAGCCCTCTGCGCGCAGGCCCGGGTGCGCTGTTCGCGGTGTCGAATCGTGCAGAACCATCGTGGGGTCCTTCTGAGATCTCGGACACCATGATGTCGCTGCTCTGGGTCTGCTGGGAAGCTTAGGAAAAGGTTGTCAAGAGCGGGCAGGATGACCCCAGCTCCTGGAACCCTCCGAACACGCTCCTGATGCTCGTGGCAGCAGCGCCTGGCACACGCGCCCGCATAGCGAGGGCGCGCAGTCCCGGCCGCCGACAGCGCGGCAAGTTGCCTTGAGAGGGTCCCATGGGCTTGAGGCGCTGCGCTGGGTCTGGGGGGCGTCTTGAGATGCCCATTGGAGACTGCAGGCTGGAGCATCTGCCCATCCCCGAGGCGAGATGGAGACTGGCAGGAGCAGAGCCGCTGTGTTCAGCCACAGCGGAAAATGGAACCTTGGGTAACCCGACAGCTGGGGTGCGGGGCGCGGCCCTGGCCGTAGGGTCCAGCGAACCAGCAGTGCTCACACGGCATACATCAACCGCTTGCCGACCGGCCACGCACTCGCGGTGCTCGCTTCTCTACTCGAGCCTCTTCTCGGCCCCACGCACGCCTGGGCTGAATGGTAGACGTTTTGGCGCCGGGCAGCGGCCACCGGCTGGTTCCCACTTCCGCGCGCATCCCTTAAACTGTGTCCTACAGGCCCCGGCCTTGCTGCGCCTCGCTGCGCCTCACTAGCTCCTGAGGATGAGGGACTGGCCGCGGACTCGGGTTGGCAGCTCCAAAGAGCTGAGCGTCTGTGGTTCTCGCTTGCCTCCTGGCTCAATCCGCTGGCCCCTCCACAGCATGCGGTGTAAGGGCACGGCACGGTAGGGGAGTGGGAGGTACATTGGGGCTGTCACCCCCTTGCTGGCTGGAGTTATTTGTGGACTACAGGCTCCGGCAGAACAGATGTGCCACCACTCACTTGACATTGCCTTCAGATCGCAGCTCTTCCTTGGGAGCGCCCCAGCTTGGCATTTATTTGCCTGAGCCAGGCACTGGCGACGGTCCCGGCCCAGGCAGGGAGGGATGGGTGGCAGGTGATCAGCCTCCGCTGTGAATAAACTCCTGCCTCCCCAGAGCGGTCCCTAATGCGCTCCCAGGTCGAACCCGTCTACTGCCTTCACCTCCTCGACCGACTCGAATCCTGTCTGTTATAGACAGAAATACAGCCTCAGCGGTTAGGGGTTAAAAATCTCCTCTTAAATGGTCCGAGGGCAGAGAGGTGACCACCGATAGGTAATTGGATCTCCTGCTGGAAACAGCAAATCTGGGCGGTGTGCACGTCTGTTTATGTTCCCCTTCGAGATGGTGCCAGGACACGAACTGATTAAAACAATCTATTGTGTCAAGTGGCTCACTAGGGTTTTAAGCTGTCCCAGGGACCCCAGAGTAGTGGCTTCCTTCTGGCTGTACACACAAGTTAAATAAATAGCACAGAAGAGGTTAAGATAACCCCATCCTAGGGTGAGGAGTCCTCTTTCATCCCTAGGGCTTCCCCCTCTCCTCTTTCTGGAAGGAGGGGGAGCATGAAAGTCTTGGGATGTACTTTTCAAAGCAAGGAGGGGAAAGATCTTAGGAAAACTGCAGATTCTTACTACCCCCTCGAGTCAAGCCTACAACAGTAGGTGATTTGATTACTATCTCTGGATAAATTGCACTGTCAACTTGTTAATATTAACTATTTAAGGGATTTTTATCGGGATAGTGGCAGTGTTGTGTGTGTCTGTGTGTTTAACCCCCAGGTCATTGTAGGAATTAGTCTTTTGTAAACTGTAATTTCACAGGTTTCCCATTTTCTTAAAAGCTCATTTTTAGTGAAATGTTTGGGTAACTCACGCTCTGTAGGAAATCCAGGTTGACTAATGTGCTTTTTAAGTGTAGTTACACAGAAGAATACAAACCTATTATGTACCCACATCTCTGAATGAGGGCTGCCTACCCTGTCTTTGACAATAAGCCAATGATGTCTTCAGTCTTAATGGTCAAGTATTAAGTGATAAAATTCAAAGAAATTTCATGCCACAGACACCTCCCCTGAAGAACTGCTTGTTGACAGCAAAGTTGTGGAGCATGTTCCAAAACAGTAAAGGAGAGCCAGGAAACCTAAACATTTTACGTAAAGAAAAGGGTTTGGCGGACAGTGGCTAGGGGAGGTGACTGCAGCCTCCAACCAAAAAGCAACAATTAGGCAAGTGCTACCAGCCCGTGTCTGACATCTTCAAAAAAAAATCTTTAGTTTTAACATATGCTCCTAGAAATTCAAAGTACAACGAATTCATTCTTGGGACGAGGGAAATCTTTGGTTACATCTGAACACGAAGATAGAAAATAGACAATTGTTTCATTTGTAATCTTCAATTTGTATTGTATTAGAAAACATATCCGTGGTTCCATTGTTAAGGACAGCACTAGGTGTCAACAGGACAGTGGTTAAGGACCTGTGTTTGGGGCCAGATGGAATTAGGTTTAAACTGCTGGCTCTCCAGCTTATGAGCTGTGTGACCTTGGACAGATTGCTAACTTTTCTGAGTATAGGTTCCATGACTGGTAAAAAGATAGTTTTCTACCTCATTTTATTATGGAAAAATGATAAAATTGGGTCAGAATTCAGCATAATGCCTGGCACAGTAAGGGCTTCAAAATGAAAGATAACTCTTATTAGTAATGTTAGGAAAAGTAGTCATGTTACAGAGAAGCAGGATAATATTGAAGGGCAGTTCCAAAATGAAATCCTGAATATCCTGCATTATGCAGTGACTGACAAATCCTTCACTACAGAACAGAACCTATAACATGGCCATGTCTCAGTAGTGCTGCTCAGTGAACACAGTATTACTAACTCGGTTGACCTCAAGAATTGTATATAGTCATTAACATGCCTAAGAACTTTGACTCCTGAGATATTTCACATCTAGGTGGTCTCCCTGTCCTTCGCAATGTTGGGCCCCAGCCAGATTTAGCTGACTTGGTCTTCAGACACTCTAGTCTTCAGACTATAGTCTCTGTTAAGGGTTTTTACAACACAAAGGGGATGAGACTTTATCCTCTGTGTGCGAATCGGGAACTCTTAATACCTCCTTGGTGCAACTTGATTTTTTTTTTCTTTTTTTCCTCCAGACAATTGTCTTTAAAAATTAAAGATCACATTGAAAAAGTTATACTTTTCCCAAAAATTTAGACCTGAGAAAAAGGAATTTTTCTAAAACCTGGCCTACAATTAGAGCATTTGCAGTCACTTCCACTATTTCTTATGCTGGGAGAATAATTTGATGCCATGCCTATTGAATGTCTTTCTAACGCTTGATTCAACAGGAGGTCATTGACCAGAAGTCCAGGCACAGATACTTAATTTTCACTGTAATTCCTACTCAAAACTCCCTTTCACTGATTCTGAGGAGGTTGCTTAGCTAAAATGAGAAATGCAGCAAGAGTGATGGAAGGAGCTGGCTTAAACTTTCCCAGAAACATCAAGGACACTGGAAACAGGCCATACAGATACCGTTTTTGAGTCCTGAGAATTAGAATATTATGTTCCTAGAGGCTTTGTAAAAACGAATAGATCGCCATGACCTGCACAGGATAGAGGTGGTTAATGTGGCTTACCTTGCTTGTGGCTGTTTACTCTTGATCCCTGAGGGAAACAAAGGAAAGCGTGCAGTAGGGGGACTTGCTTTCAGCGTATGTGTCCTTTGGGACAAGTAAAATGAAAGAGGATAGAGGCAAAGAGGGGAAAAAAGAGGTGGAGATGGGGTGAGACTTGCTGGTGGAGAACAGTTGCAAAGAAAACTCAGAAGATCACATTTCTTGAAGCTGAATTGCATTGATGGGAAGTGGAGGCAGAGTTGGAAAAGGAGATGTTGGGTATCTTGATGCACCTTGGGTCTATGAGATGCAGCTTAATTTAATGACACGAATAGGCCACTTCACAAGTGGAAATTACCATAGTCTTTGCAGCTAATGACTGGGTATGGATGTCATAGGAACCTAAGTCTGGATAAGCTATGGATTGAATTTGTACTATGGGACTCCCTGCTACATCTTGTTGTGGAAAAGAATTGTCCTCAAGAAATGTGCATCTTCATTTCCTCTACATCTCTGATATTTACAAAGTGCACATTATTTGGTGACAATACAATTGGGATTTCATGTGCACATCATTCCTCTTTGAAGAATCAAGAGCAGTTTGTGGGTGGCGAGAGCTTGGATGATGGATCAGGATGTGGCAGAGCCTTGGTTCCACTATGAATTACAGTTCTTACCCTACTGGCCGTCACTCATGTAGAGCAGCTAGTGTGCCTCAGAGCACTGCTGTTGAGAAGCTGAGGTCTCGATTGACATTAAGTTGGTGTTTACTTCTCTGAATAAACAAAGGTTGACAACTCGAACATCTTCCAATAAGTAAAGATTTTTGAAGAAAAGGCTTTTAAAAAACGAATAACAATTTAACTTTCCGTAGCTAATAAATCTTACTTTGAGAAAAAGCCTGTCATTCTAGACCCTTTGGCTTAGAAGGTAGACATACTCCCATAGGAACAAAGTCTGTCCAAATTAAAACTGAAAACCAGTTGACTAATTTTGAATTTACAACTCTGCTGCTGGCTTCTGCCATAGTATTAATTTCAATGGCTTCAATTAGAAAGTGAAACCCATGGATTCCAGATGAAGACTGATAAAATGTGAGGAACATTTGGAATTCCTAAAAAGACAAGTCTTAGGAAGCTCTCTAGGATGGAAGGAATTTGCCACGCTGAGAGTCAGACATGCAAAGGATTGCAATTGCCTCTTCTGTTCACGGGCACTAGTGAAGGTGTTTAAAACGCAAAGAATGGTAACTCTGTAAATTAGTGAGGTTCATAACAATCGTGCATTTACCAAATTTTAACGAGCACCTGCCTTGTGCCAGGCACTGAGGGTAAGGTGATGAATAAGCCCTCATCAACTCTCAGACTAGCTATTTACTCAACAGATGTGAAAATGCCAAGAAGGAAAAGTTGTCTAAAGAAAGCCTTAAGTTGGTTCAGAGAAATAAAATTGCATTTTTCGGATAGATATTTGTGGAAAGGTATGGCCTTATGAGGTAAACCTGTCATATGCAGTTAACATACATTGCCAGTTAGTCTCAGATTGACTTCAGATGTTGAACTTGGAGAGTCTTGGTCTGGGAGGGGTGACATTGTCTGGAGACCATTTTCTTGAGGTAGAGGAAGATTGTGGGCATAGGCCTGGGGCCATCTCCTGTATTCCTCCTCTGAAAAGGGCAGCAACTGAATTGTATTTTATTTTAACTTTTGTCCCTATTGAATAAATAGCAGAAACTCGTGAAACCTCAAATTCACAATGTATTTTGAGACGAGGAGAATGGCTCAACTTATCCTAGTCACAGGAAAAATTCAGTCCTGTATTATAACTGGACTTTTCTCATAAGTGATTTTTTTTTTTTTTTCCATTCTTACTATACTTCAAGTTTTGGGATACACGGGCAGAATGTGCAGATTTGTTACATTGGTATGCACATGCCATGGTGATCTGCTACAGCCATCAGCCAGTCATCTATTAGGTGTTTCTCCTAAAGCTATCCCTCCCCTAGACTCCTACTCCCCAACAGGCCCTGGTGTGTGATGTTCCCCTCCCTGTGTCCATGTGGTCTCATGGATCAACTGCCACTTACAAGTGAGAACATGTGGTGTTTGGTTTTCTATTGTGTTACTTTGCCAAGAATGCGTCATCCATGTTCCTGAAAAGAATATGAACTTTTTTATGGCTGCATAGTATTCCATGGTGTACATGTGCCACAGTTTCTTTATCCACTCTCACTGATGGGCACTTGGGTTGGTTCCAGGTCTTTGTTGTGAATAGTGCCACAAACGTGTGCATGTGTCTTCATGTAATTTATCATCCTTCGGGTATATAATGGGATTGCTGGGTCAAATGGTATTTCTGGTTCTAGATCTTTGAGGACTCGCCACACTGTCTTCCACAGTGGTTGAACTAATTTACACACCCACCAACGGTGTAAATGCATTCCTGTTTCTCCACATCCTCTCCAGCATCTGTTTCCTGACTGTTTAATGATTGCCATTCTAACTGGTGTGAAATGGTACCTCATTGTGGTTTTGATTTGCATTTTTCTAAAGACCAGTGATGTTTTTTCATGTTTATTGGCCACACAAATGTCTTCTTTTAAGAAGTGTCTGTTTATATCCTTCATCTGTTTTTTGATGGGGTAGTGTTTTTTTTTTTTTTTCTTGTAAATTTAAGTTTCTGTAGATATTAGCCCTTTGTGAGACGGATAGATTGCAAAAATTTTCTCCCATTCTGTAGGTTGCCTGTTCACTATGATAGTTTCTTTTGCTGTGTAGAAGCTCATTAGTTTAATTAGATCCCGTTTGTCAATTTTGGCTTCTGTTGCCATTGCTTTTAGTGTTTTAGTCATGAAGTCCTTGCCCATGCCTATGTCCTGAATAGTATTGCTTAGGTTTTCTTCTAGGGTTTTTATGGTTTTGGGTCTGACGTTTAAGTCTTCAATCCATCTTGAGTTAATTTTTGCATAAGGTGTAAGGAAGGGGTCCAGTTTCAGTTTTCTGCATATGGCTAGCCAGTTTTCCCAACACCACTTGTTAAATAGGGAATTCTTTCCTTATTGCTTGTTTTTGTCAGGTTTGTCAAAGATCAGATGGTTGTAGATGTGTGGTGGTATCTGAGGCCTTTCTTCTGTCTATATATTGTGGTCTATATTGGTCTACATATCTGTTTTGGCACCAGTACCATGCTGTTTTGGTTACCGAAGCCTTGTATGGTGTGATGCTTCCAGCTTTGTTCTTTTGTTTAGGATTGTCTTCGCTATACAGGCTCTCTTTTGGTTACATAGGAAATTGAGTTTTTTTTTTTTTTTTTCATAGACATCTACAGGATGCTCCACCCCAAATCAACAGAATATACATTCTTCTCAGTACATCACACCTATTCTAACGTTGATCATATAATTGGAAGTAAAACACTCCTCAGAAAATGCAAAAGAACAGAAATCATAAGTCTCTCAGACCACAATGCAATCAAATAAGAAATCAAGATTAAGAAACTCAAAACTGCACAACTTACACGGAAGCTGAACAACCTGCCTTTGAGTAACTACTGGGTAAATAACAAAATTAAGCTAAGAATAAGTTATAAGAAACCAATGTGAACAAAGACACAGCGTACCAGAATCTCGGACACAGCTAAAGCAGTGTTGAGGGAAATTGATAACACTAAATGCCCACAGGAGACAGCTGGAGCTGAATGTCACATTATCAGCTCCAAACTTGAACTGGTCTAAAAGTACTCAGTTAATGCTGGGAAGATGGTGCCATTTAAAGATATCTTAAATTCAGTATTTTATTATCTTAATTTCACATTATTCTAGGGTTGAATGGTGTTTCCTTACTGTACGCTGTCGATTAGAAAATCTAGATTTTACGCTCTTTGTGCAAGGTAATTGTTCTGGCTAACAATACCAACTTGTCCAGTTTTGGAGGAAGAAATAATGTTACTGTTCAGTTGGACTAAGTGGTTAAGTGTAATACTGGTGTTCAAAAGAGCAGGGAAATGGGGGCTACACAGCTGTGTTGTTAGGTTCAGAAACCATAGGAATTGGACAGGAGAAGCTTCAGGATTCAAGTCTGGTTGTTGTGATGGCCACAGGAGAGGCTGTGAATTTGAAACTGCATTCATTGAAAAGAAAATCCTTCCACATGTTAATTCTGTATGTGCCCCATGGCAGCAAGTACTCACAGGCCTTGCTACTCGAAGCTTAATAAGACAGACCTGCTGAATCGGAATCTGCATCTTAATGATATCTCCAGATAACTGTACTTTCAGGTCTAAGAAGCACTGTCCGAAGAGACTTCTTAGGCTTGAGGCTTCTCTCTTGTACTCTCCTTTTTAAAAATAAGCTGCTCTGGCTGGGCATGGTGGCTCATGTCTATTATCCCAGCACTTTGGGAGGCCGACGTGGAAGGATCACCTGAGGTCAAGAGTTGAAGACCAGCCTGGCCAATGTGGTGAAACCCCGTCTCTACTAAACATATAAAAATTAGCTGGGCATGATGGCACGTGCCTGTAATCCCAACTACTCAGGAGACTGAGGCAGGGAATTGGCTAGAACCCAGGGAGGTATATGTTGCAGTGAGCCGAGATCGCACCATTGCACTCCAGTCTGGGCGTCCCAATGAGACTGTCTCAAAAAAAAAAAAAAATCTCCTCACCCTCCTCCTCCTCCTCTTCCTCCTCCTGTCTGCCCTACCTCCCCTGAATACCCACTTGTAGAAGAGTCCCCCTTTCTCTGAATTGCATTCTTCCCTCCATTTGTTTTGTCTATGCTTTCCTATTTTGTTTTCCCTCTGCTTTACCTCGTTATCTTTTTGCCACTGTTCACATGTCACTGCCCCGTCAGACCCATATCTAGCTTCAGACCTATTCATAGTAATTCATTGCCATTAAGGTAGTCAACATGTCCATGGCATTTATTGATGTAAATATTTGCACATAATTGTTCCGTCATGCCCGTTTTTCTACCTTTTAAACTGTTTATATACAACACATGAGTGACATATTTCACTATTTAAAAGGTATTTAAAAGGTATTTAAAGAATGACACGCTGAGTATCTCTGCCCGGTTTCAAGGTGAGAGTAAGGGAGGCCACATGGCGGAGCCTCATGAGTCATGTCAGCTACCTGCTCCTGTCTTTGACTCTGTCTGCAGTACCGCCAACATTTGGTTAGTTCTCCAAATGCTCTCACATTGACATTGAGTTGGATCTGAACAATTTACGTGGGGGAGACAAGGTATTGGTACCTTTGCTTAAATTGAGTCACTTACTGAGAGGTAAAGTGACGGCCTTAAGATCAGACAGCAAGTTACTGCACCAGGATTGTGACGTTCCTGTTCTGTTTTCCCTCTGTCAGATGCTTTCTGGTCTCTATGAATCTCTCCTTCCACGTCTGATAAAAATGCAAAGTCTCATGAGCCATTCACAGCTCAGGTCTCCATGAATCTCCTTCCATGTCTGATAAAAATGCAAAGTCTCATGAGCATTCACAGCTCAGGTCTCCATGAATCTCCTTCCATGTCTGACAAAAATGCAAAGTCTCACAAGCATTCCGAGCTCAGGAAACCTCAGGCTGTTTGGGGAGAAAAGTCCTCTGGGCAGAAAGGTTAATTTATCTTGCTGTAAAACAAAACAAAGTTCCCTCCAAAAGGTGCAAAGGTCATAGGGCATAGGAGCTTACTAAATATTATCAAATACAAGAATGAATATAGTTAAGTAAATGTAATACAAAGTCATGCCGTTGATGCCAGAAGCCAGGGAGAAGTTCTTGTGAGAATAGAAAACAGCTAGGTCCTGGCTAAGTTTAAACTTGACTTTTAGTCACTGAGACTGTGGGGGAATTACTCCATGGATTGATGGCTGGGTCATGGAGATGACAGTACCTAATTCATACAGGTACTATGAGAAGTAAATGGAATAATTTACATACGTGTTTAACAAGTACCGTTTAAAATGCTAGGTGCTATTAACTTTTAAATTAACTTTGCCATGTTTTGTGTCTGCCCCTCTGTGCTTCCTCCCTTTTAGTATGAGCCGCACAGCTTACACGGTGGGAGCCCTGCTTCTCCTCTTGGGGACCCTGCTGCCTGCTGCTGAAGGGAAAAAGAAAGGGTCCCAAGGTGCCATCCCCCCGCCAGACAAGGCTCAGCACAATGACTCAGAGCAGACTCAGTCGCCCCAGCAGCCTGGCTCCAGGAACCGGGGGCGGGGCCAAGGGCGGGGCACAGCCGTGCCCGGGGAGGAGGTGCTGGAGTCCAGCCAAGAGGCCCTGCATGTGACGGAGCGCAAATACCTGAAGCGAGACTGGTGCAAAACCCAGCCGCTTAAGCAGACCATCCACGAGGAAGGGTGCAACAGTCGCACCATCATCAACCGCTTCTGTTACGGCCAGTGCAACTCCTTCTACATCCCCAGGCACATCCGGAAGGAGGAAGGCTCCTTTCAGTCCTGCTCCTTCTGCAAGCCCAAGAAATTCACTACCATGATGGTCACACTCAACTGCCCTGAACTACAGCCACCTACCAAGAAGAAGAGAGTCACACGTGTGAAGCAGTGTCGTTGCATATCCATCGACTTGGATTAAGCCAAATCCAGGTGTGCACCCAGCCTGTCCTAGGTATGCAGCCCCAGGAAGACCTAGACCTAAAACCACCAGATTCTTAACTGGCTTAAACCTAGAGGCCAGAAGAACCCCCAGCTGCCTCCTGGCAGGAGCCTGGTTCTGCGTAGTTTGTGTGGATGGTGCCTGTGGGTGCTTTTAGACACCAGAGGAAACAGTCTCTGCTAGAGAGCACTTCCTATTTTGTAAATGTATTTGCTTTAATGGGGATGGTAGCAGAAGCCCACACTAACCTGCTCACGTCTAAAGGGGCGGGGCAGTGGTCTGGTTCTGCCCTTGTGTTCCTTGTGCCCTCCTGGGGACCAGAATCTCCCTTCAGAATGAATGTTCATGGAAGAGGCTATTCTGAGGGCAAGAGACATGTTTTAGTGCTGCATTCAACATGGAGAAGTCCTTTTTAACCTGTGCTTGCATCCTCCCTTCATCCTCCCTCCCACAGCCTGTCCCTTAAGTTGTGACTGTCAGTCTAATCTTTTTTGAAAAGGCCTTGCTCTGTTCCCCAGGCTGGAGTGCAGTGGCACAATTTCGGCACACTGCAACCTCTGTCTCCCTGGTTCAAGCAATTCTCCTGCCTCAGCCTCCTGAGTAGCTGGGATTACAGGCGTGTGCCACCACATCCAGCTAATTTTCATATTTTTCGTAGAGATGGGGTTTTGCTGTGTTGGCCAGGCTGGTCTTGAACTCCTGACCTCAGGTGATCCACCTGCCTCAGCCTTCCAAAGTGCTGGGATTCCAGGTGTGAGCCACCAGGGCCGGCCGATGTCAGTCTAATGTCACGTTTGCCAAGGTTTCTAGATTAATTCACTTAACCATGATGTAAATTTTTCATTTGTGAAGACCCTCCAGACTCTAGGAGAGGCTTATGGGGGCAAGGGCAAGCAAAGGGAGGGTAAGGCCAAATGAGGCCCAGCAAATGTCAGGGAGATTGCAGAGGCTTGAAAGGCCAGTGCCAGAACACAGTGAGGCCCATGGTTCTGAGAACATCTTTTCCTAGTATTTAACAGAACCCAAGTGAACAGAGAAGAAATGAGATTGCCAGAAAGTGATCAACTTTAGCCGTCACTGTGATCTGCTCAAACCTAACACCAAACTGAAAACACAAATATTTTCAGACTGAAGCAAGTTAGCCAAGCCAAACTAACCCCTCTGCTTTGTCCCTCAGGCGGAAAAGAGGTAGTTGAGAACTCTGCATAGGAGTAAGAAATGAAACCCTCAGAGGCTGAAAGTCCTTTTTTGTGATTATAATCAGCTAATTTCCAGTTCAGTATTTCCCATAATGCTTCTGAGAGCCCTTAACCTGATTGACAAAGATTCTGTCTCAGCTGAGCTCTGCTAAGGGTACCTGACAATATTCTAAGATGAGAGAGTTTAGGGACTGTTTTAGCAAGAGGTATTTTTGGGGTCTGTTTTAACCATTGTCAGGAGATTGGGACGGGAGAAGAGGAGAAGGAAATAAAGGGAAGTGCCTCTGGCTAGAGAGTAGTTAGGTGTTAACACCTGCTAGAGACACAAGGGATATGACCCGCCTTTCTTGATTTGCTCTCTGAGGATCAGAGGAGGACCCTGCTAGGAGAGCACTGCGTCATGGTGTGTTAGCTGTTCATCTGCTATTGGTTGGATGGACATACGGTAACCATTCAGTGTCTCCTGGTAGGCACTGTCCTGATTAAACTTGGCCTACTGACAATGCCTACTTAGGATTTATGTAGGGGCCAAAGTGCAGGGTGGGTGAACCTTGATGCATTTTGAATTTGGTTAACCTGATTTCTTCAAGCCTGAGGTTTTCTATGCAAACTCTCCGAATACTCTTTTTGCCTTATCTTCTCAGCCTCACTAGCCAAGTCCTATGTAATACGGAAAACAAGCACTGTAGACTTGGATTCAGACTTGGATTCAGTTGCCTATCAGGGCTCCAGCATTCAAAGAACCCTTGCAACTCAAGAAGCTGTTTCCTTGTTTTGATTCAGTGCTCTGCCGTCTAGCAACTATAAACAGCCATTTCAAGGCAGGAGATATTTTAAATGTCCAAAATATTGGGTCTGATTTTGAAACTTTCAAACTGACTACTGATTCTCGCACTAGGTGAATTTGTCCAAACACATTGTGTTTTGTATACACTGTATGACCCTGTCCCAGATCTTTGTATTATCCACATTCTCCAACAGTAAAGCACAGAATGGATTTGATTAAGCACACAAATGCTAAGGCAGAGTTTTGAGAGTGGGAGAGTAAAAAGGAAAGGAAGCCGAAGATACAAAACCACACCAGAGAGGATAAATGACACTCAGAACCAGCAAACACTGAATTTCTCTTAACTATGCCACAAGCCTGCTTTAACAGATGACTTAAGTTGGCAGCAGTAATCTTTTTAGGAGCTTTTACCACTGTCTTGCATATAAGTCCAGATTTGGCTCAAGTAAAGAGAAAATGCTCAAAACTAACTTCACTGGGATAATCAGCAGTGTAACTACCATGAAAGCACATCACTAGCCAAAGAGGGAAATGTTTGCTCTTCTTACTGTGCCTGTATTAAGACTAATGTGCTGTCTTCCAACATTTATTGCAAATGCCGTATCTGTAACATTTTATTGGAGTCATCGATGATGTAATGATACATACTTTTCATTATTATAGTAGAATATTTTTATGGCAAGATACTTGTGATCTTGATCGTACCTATTAAAATAATGCCAAACACCAAATACGAATTTTATGATGTATACTTTGTGCTTGGCATTAAAAGAAAATGCAATCCTGGAAGTCTGTAAGTTGTTTTTTGTTACTGTAGTTCAAGTGTAAGTGAAAAATCGGGAGAGGATAATTTCCACTGTGTGGAATGTGAATAGTTAAATGAAAAGTTATGGTTATTTAATGTAATTCAAATCTTTTGGTCACTGATTGCAAGCATGTTTTATTTTCCTCCTTTATCACTTTGAGTTGGGCAAAGAAGCAGCTGGCACCTAGTATGTTGTTGGGAGTCTCTTATCTGGTCAGCGGGAAACAAAATCTTTATCCATCTGAACGTGTGTTACTGAGTCAGTGCCTGAACCTTTATTTTTTAAAAATGTTCTTTAAAGGTTAACATTTCTAAAGCAATATTAAGGAAATACCATTTACTTGACATGTTATTTTCGAAGACTTATGTGTGTATACAAATAGCAGATACTGATGAATAGTTCACACAAAGTTTAAGGAGAAAATAAAAGTGGATATACAGAACACCTGTTAGTGACCAGTTAATGCTTAAGAGTGAAAGTAGTTCTATTGATTTGTCATTCCTCAAGATATTTAATATCGACTGTATTACGTATTATGTCTGCTTTAGTCAATTAAAAACAATTACATAGACTATGACTGAGGTACCTTGCTGTGTAGGAGAGGATGAAAGGATTTGATAGCCTCATAAAACTAATTTGGCTTCAAGTTTCATGAATCTGTAACTAGAATTTAATTTTCACCCCAATAATGTTCTATATAGCTTTTGCCAAAGAGCAACTAATAAATCAAACCTCTTTTTGTGTGTGAGCATACATTTGCGTTTTACCTGGTAGTGTTCCTAGAGCATGGATGGAGCAGAGATGCATTTATCATGGGAAGGGAGATGGAAAAGAGAACTAGAGCTCCTGCAGTCTTCAGTGGAGTTGATTCCTTTTGCCTAGGCATTTCAGATCCTGCTTGATTTCCATAGGACACCTCAGGTCGTGGCAAGGGAGAGCTGGTGTGCAATGGGAAGCATCCGCCTCTTCCATAGAGCACAGCTAGAAAGAAGAGCAATAAAGTGTTATAAGGGAGGCCGGCAGATGGAAGGGCCATCACACAAATTACAATAACTTCAGAGTGTTCCAGGGAAAAAAATTTTGGGGGCTCAGTAGAAGGAAAGGCTTCCTAATGATAGGGGTAACTGGCAATACCATGAGGTACCTTTAAAAGCTAGTGAACTCCTGTCCTTGGAAATACTAAACCATAGGCTAGATATAATTTAATAGTGTTGCGAGGTGTAGAGTTAAGTCACTGCCCTGGGTGTGCAATTGTGAATTTGTGGATTTGAGGCTCCTTTCTACTCAGATACGTAATACAAGATTTCTATTAGGGATGGGTGTTCTGACGATAATGAAAACCCTGGCAACTATGTACAGAATGATTACAATAGACCCTGTGCTAAGGATTTTCTGTGAATTGTTTTTCACTTAATCTTGACATTAGCTTATTGAGGGTAGGTACCGTTACCGCTGCTAGAAAGCAGCGAACTTAAATGGTTTTACTGTGATATTGGGACCTTTAAACACTATGCAAAACTGTGAGCAACTTTTATCTGTTTGTTCTTTAAAGAACAGAACACAGCACTCTAAAAATAGATCTAACTAGATGGTTCACATCTAGTGAATAAGGCCACCTTGAGGTTATAGTTGCATCATCAGGAGCCCAAGATCTGAAGCATTGAGTCAAAGCCTCTTTGCCACCCCCCTTTTTGTTATGGCCTTGGACTTGGAGGTGGATAGTGGAAGCAAGTACCAAGGAGACAGTGTTCTCAAAGCCACACCCAAGGGGAAACATCTGAACATAGGCCTGAATAGGTGAGTGGGACTTCACACGGATGAGCATTTAAAACCTAAGAAAAGTGTGTGGGATGATGTCAGCAACAATGCTAAGGATTCCCCAAAAGTCTGTCCTCCGTAACACCAATAGAATCTGGCAAAAGTAGACGCAACTTTTTATAGCTCTGGAAATTAACTGAAGACTTGCAGCAATTGGCAGGGCATTCATTCAAGGAAAGACTAAATCTCTACGAACAGTGAGCACTATGATACTGTAATTTTCACTATTCTCATCTCCCCCTCTTCAGCTCCACAATAGCTTTGAAATCAAATGCTGGTAAAAACTAGCCGTCTGGGAGCCACTGGATATGGCAGAACGGAGTTCTTCCAAAGTCCCATTCCTAGACAATTGTCATTTAACCTGTTGGGCAGACCCTGGAATCTCCACTTGCAAGGCTATCTTTATTTGACCTGATTAGAAGCTTCCCAGTATGAAAAATTTTGTCAAAACAATTAGGCAATCGATTATCTTCATGGCTGCCTGGGGCATCTGTATGACAGATGGGGAAAGCAATTGGCTAAACAAAAAGCCTTAAAAAAAGAACCTGGAAAATGAGATTTTCATAGGGGCTTTGAAATGCTCCAAAGTGTTACTGGTAATCTGGACTGCCAAATGCATAAATAGGACTCCATACATGCCCAGGACTGTACGCATGCTCAGGAAAGACCTGAGAAAGCCTTAAGCTCTCACTTCAGGCTGATCTTGGGGCTCTGCACAAGGGAGAAGAGTTAGGAATTGCCTGGCCGAGTGAGCGTTGAGTGTGCCTTAGCATTCACACAGAGCCCCTTGGCAAAAACTGGTTGAATTATTGGTTCTAAGTGTTTGAGGAAATCCCTGTACAACTATTAGATGACCACTAAGCTAACCAAGCTAAGACTTCAGTATCCACACACACAAAAATATAGACTTTATAGAATTAGTTCAGAAAAGTTATTTAAACAACAAACGCTGGGGAAATGACAGTATGATCAAATCATGCAGGGCCCTGTCTGCATGTGGGAATTCTCATCCAAGTCAAATTCTCTAACCGTCATAAAAAACCCAAGCCAGACTCCCTTCCAGTTCTCTGAAGTCACTTTCAGACCACGTTAGAGGAGACGTGAGCTGCTCTCCCCAAAAAGCCTCATGTGAGTAATAAACGTTTCATACTCCCTTGGGGGGTATATGACATCAATCTCAGTATCTGAACCAAATTTTGGTGACGTTTCATCTTGTTTACAAAACATACAGCAGGCTGGGCCCAGTGGTTCATGCCCATAATCCCAACACTTTGGGAAGTTGAGGCAGGAGGATCACGTGAGCTCCAGAGTTTGAGACTAGCCTGGAGAGCATAGTGAGACCTTGTCTCTACTAAAATTTTAAAAGAACTAGCCAGATGGGGTGACATGCACCTATCATCCCAGCTACTTGGGAGGCTGAGGCAGGATCAATTGAGTCCAGAAAGTCGTACCACTGCACCCTAGCCTACATGACCGAGTGAGTCTGTCTCAAAACCAAAACAAAACAAAAATACTGAAAGCTTTCCTTGTACAGCAACTAACAGGATATCTGCTGTCACTATTCAATACTCTGGAGGTTCTAGCTGGGGCAATTAGGCAAAAAAAGGGAAAAAGTTACCAAGATTAGAAAAGATCTCAGTTTTCAGATGACATAATCTTGTATGTAAAAATCCTAAGGCATTTACAAAAGAACTGCTACCTTACAAATTTTTGTAAGGCAAACACCCTTGTAATTACCATTAGGGGAATAAGTGTTTGCATGCATCACAGAAACTTATACCCCACCTCAATTTCAACCTTTTCCTGTACCATTGTAGTTAACGCTTCTCCTAAAATTTAATCGCCTCCTTGTATATATTTATAGTTCTATCACCGAAGTGTGTATCCCTAAACTCAACACCTTAGTCTGGTTGTAAACAGTTTAAATGAGAAAAGGGACTGAATTAAGGCAAACCTAAACCTTTTTGTATAATCTCGATGGTGGTTACCACCTAGGGCATTACAAATGTTTGCTTCTTGCTCTGGCACCAACAAATTGACTGAGCAGAAATTTATAATTGGATAATCGGGCAGGTGACATCAGCAAGATGTTGTATTAGAAGACGATGGACTCTTCAATCCACAAACTCACCTATTGTGCAAAAATTCATGGCTAAACTCCTTTGTGAGGAATCTAGAAATGAAAAGGATCCTGCACTCCAAGGAAATGGAAAAGCCAGACTCGGCGAAGCTGGTAGAGTTGAGACAGCACCCTGTCCGAATCTCTAACCACAGCACAGTGCCACATAGTCGGCAAGAGACTCCCTAGCACTCAGTTTCTCCCAGGTGAGAAGAGTTGGTTCACATATCTAGTACCTCCAACTTTTATGAGGGGATTCCCCAGAGGACTGGCTTCTATGGTGTCAGTCTTGGAGCTCTGACAGAATTGTTACAATCTAGCCACCTGGGGAAGGACAGAGACAGAGGTGTAGACCAGTAGATGACCTGGCACCCTGGCCTCTACTGCCTCACCTCCTTCCTGGCTCAGCACAGACAACAAAAATCATGTCTGCTTCTCCCTGGGGAAGGAATGATTTGTGAAAAGCCCCCAAATCTCTGGGCAGACTTCTTGGTGGGAGTCTTCTCTGAGGCGCACCAGTGAAGACTGGGACAGGTGGCTGCCTTATCTAATGTGCAGACACCAACACGGAGTTAAGGCAAATGAAGAATCACACAAAAATATTCCAAACCAAAGAACAAGATAAATCTCTGGAAATGGAGCAAATAAAGTTATGTGATTTATCTGACAGAGTTCAGAATAGCTCTTTTAAAGTTTTTTACCAGAGTCAAGAGAACAACGGATGAAAAAATGAATTTTCAGAGTATATTTAAAAGTACCAAAAAGGAGTCAAAGAACACAATAACTGAACTGAAAAAATTTACTACAGGACATCAACAGAAGACTAGGTTAATCAGAAGAATCAATGAACTTGAAGACAGATCATTGGAAATAGCTCAGTTAGAGGAAAAATGAAAATGAAAAAAGCCCAAAGGACTTATAGGACCCCATTATTGTATAGGCTGAACAACATACTCATTATTGGCATCATGCAAGAAAAGGGAGAAAAGAACTGAGAAGTTAAAGAAATAATGGCTGAAAACTTCTCAAATGTGGTGAAGAAACTGAACATTCTGATCCAAGAAGCCCAAAGTCATGAAAAAGTGATCCCAAAGCCTACAAGATTATTACAATTTGTCATCCTAGAGGAAGAAAAAAATCTTTCTCCCAGTGTCCATATTCAACTATTAGGGAAATATCTCAAGGACTTGGTTTGAGTTTCAAGTCCATTGGCTTTACAAATCAATGGTAACGAAATGGAGAGAGCTTTCTGATTTGCAAATGTGGTCTCATGTTACCCTGATGCCTAGAAAGGAAGCAGGAGATGTAACGCATGGCAGGAGATGCTGGATGGCACCACATGGGATGGGGGAAAGTAGCTGTTGCAAAAAAAAATTTTTTTTAAAGAAGAGATGGAAGGAGTCAAGGATAGTAAAGATCTGCTTAAACATTTAATGTTTCTCATCCACTATATTGTGTAGTAATAAACTTCTATACTTAAGGGGTTAGTACTGACACGTTTAAAATGAATGGTCTGGAAGGCAAGGAAGCTCATTTCCAACAGACTCATGCCACCTTGTTTGGTGACAAGGAACAGAACAGAGAAGGTGATTTCAGCCATAAATACAGGAGATAAATAAGATCCTTTAGTAAACATTAGTATCTAAACCTTGTTTTCATATTGGGGAAAGGAAATAGATCAAAGTACTGTGGTCTTCAGTATACAGACCTTTTACTTTCTTAGTTTATTCCAGGGTCTTTTATTCTTTTTTGGTGCTATTGTAAATAGCATTGTTTTCCTAATTTTAAGATAGTTCATTGTTG